GAGAGAGAGAGAGAGAGAGAGAGAGAGAGAGAGAGAGAGAGAGAGAGAGAGAGAGAGAGAGAGAGTAAGAGCGAAAGAGAGAGTGCCTGTGCTAAGTGAGAGTAGAAAAGCAACGAGGAGAAATAGCTATTCCTGGTGACTACCATTATTGACAACTAGACGCAGATTTTGTTGCCGGGAGGAAAGAGTCGATAACATAGTCTTACCTAATAGTATATACATCCTAATAGTATATACATCCTAATAGTATATACATCCTAATAGTATATACATCCTAATAGTATATACATGTATAATACATGTAATATTAATGCACGCGATAGCACACAAGTGAGTCACGCGTGTTAATATTACCAGCCACAAATAATGGATCAAGAGAAACGCATTCGTGCTCCGCTAAATGTGATTCACTATCTATACATATAATCAAGATCTAATAATACATTATCAATAATTAATGTTATAATAATAATAAATAAATAATAATAATAATAATAACAAGCCCATGCGCCCTACTGGCTTCATTTAGAAGTCATAAGTGCGGTGCATTCGAGATTTTTCGTTGATTGAGATTGAGGTGGGCTGGTCATTATTCATAGAATGCCACGGTTAGAAATACGAGAAGCCATCATCTATCAACAGCATGCACAGCTGTTGCGGCATGTAAACCTGCATTACCAATGCACCGCATTATTGACTGCAGCTATTTAACTACTGTATTGGCTTAGCGAGAACGAACCGGCTTATACGGTAAAAGCCCATAACATATTTAAAGTAAGAATCAGAAATGCACAAAATTTTACCGAAACTACAGATTATGAGAAGCGCAGCATGAAAAAGTGAAAATCTTTACATTATAAGTAGTAAATGGCCAATCGATATAATCATGAAAAAATTTGGTAAAGGAAAGCCAAGCATGCAGGAATATAGGTGTAAAACTCTTGTCTTTTGTCACGGGGAAATATCAATTTTCAATAGAATTTCAAGAAAATGTATCCTCTTTTGAAACAAGCAGCAGTTGAATGGGATATACATGTACATATTATGTATATATGTATATATATCAGAGGTAGATAATAGCAGGAGCGATTCCCTATTATCAACTTCTGATATATATATACACATATATATGTATATATACACACATAACGACATTTTTGAACACACACAGATGGATCCCGAATTAAATGTGTTTTCTCGCTTACCACGTGATTAAAAACAAACAAAGCCCAGCTGGTTCGTGCAAACCTTTTCAAATTATAAGTGAGGTAATTAATTTTTGCAGAATTTTTCCTTTTAGAATTAACATCGATTTTCAGTTCAAGCCTTACGCCTACTGCTCAGCGCAGTGTATTCAAGTAGAAATATCCCAATATAATCAAGAGCTTTCTATATTTCAAATAATTCTGCACAACACCGAGGAAATTGCTCTAAGATTTCTATTTTCTGGCAAGAAATGTTCAATAATAAATAACCAACATCACAGCAGGGGCATTGCAACAACATAACGATGATGTTGCATATTATAGTGCGATGCCTATGTCAAATGCTTCAGTTCCTCTAATTATACAGAGCGCCGCAGAGCGTCTGGGCTCATCTGAGGTCTGTTGCTACGATTAAAACGTAGAAATTCAGTCGTTCGGCGTAGTACATTTGTTAGGCGCAGATATCGCAGAGCACGCCAGCTTGCGTACACATTCAGATTTGTTAGGACACGCCCACTTCGAGATGGAGGGTGGGGGAGGGGTGGGGGAAGGGCGGGTAGGGAGGGGGGAGGGGAAGGGGGAGGTGGGGGGAGCGGGCTCTAAATAGCAAAAGCCAGTTCACTCCTATTGTGTAACAGTCAACAAATCCATGTTTACGCTCCTCTTTGAGGGTCAAAGGTTATCAGCACACTTAACTCTTTCGCACGGCAGCGGAAGCCAGATTTCATGGTCCTTTCAAATAAAGCCATAAAAAAGCGTAAGGTCACGCTGGAACAAAAAAGTTTTTCAATCGTCCGTCAGACCATCGTCGCTCAGAAAATGTCTAAAAGTCTGCCCTGTTGCCATTACCTTATGACACTGTGATCCTCAATTTCGGCCAAGTGATGGCTTTTCCTTACCATGATGCGTATACCCATCCGGACTACTCACGAGAGCCTAGGTCGAGCCGTTTAGATTTGGTGCCGCAATTCTGCATTTCCTCGTATACTTAAGTTACGGAGTGAATGTTCCCCCTTCTTTGTACACCTCTTTGACTTGACCTTTGACCGCCCAGCTTCGACATCACCAAACTCGTTTGACGCGATCCCGACCAACGACCCGAATATCGTGACCGTTACGTCAACGGTAACGATTTAGTGCCACACTGTTTGACGACCGACCGGACCGGACGGACGGACGGACGGGACGCGACGGACGGAACGCGACGACTCAAGAGTCTATCAAGCTGCATCTGACTATGCTCAGATTGAGCTCAAAAACCTGGTTATTCACGGCCCTTTGTACAACCACGACCCCATGCACCTCGCCACGGTGAACATGTCATATTATTCTACAATTTTATCTTAACGCGCCAAATCGCTTTCTATTCCATGAGGTGTTCGATAGACTAGCCCGCTGATGCACTCGAGAAATGTTTTAGCCTTGCATCCACTTTCATGTTCAAAGACATAAATGCAGGAGGTAAGATAATATAGAGATTCGTAGTATTATCTTGACCCTGAATATATCAGGAGTGTATCCAAAAGGAGTGGTGTGATGTGAGCGAGTGTTCAAAACCACAGCATTTTGATACACTTCCTGGATAATATCTTACTGCGCACGTACGCCCTATAGCTGGTTAAAACACACGTACACAGTAACACACGCGGATGGCGCGCACGCAGCACATCACACACACACAACACCACACACACGCACAACACGCACACGCACGCACGCACCCGGAGCACGGCACGCACAGCGCGCGCCGACGCGCCAAGCTATGCCACATATGCACAAGTTACTTGATCACACATGTTCCTATTTAACTTTTATTCCAACCGATCTCATTGCTATCAGCAGTTTCAGATTCTATTTCATTTAACAAAATTTCCCTTCTCCGATAATCAAAAAGCAATGTTCGTTCCTTGGTTGCCGATTACGTTTGTAAGCACTCTATTCAATGACATGACTCAGTGCAGTACCGATGATGGCTGCATGGAAAAAAACGCTATTAATCACGAATACCCAGCCTGAATCCATCATCTCCAATTTCTCGTTAAAGTTAAATTGTCAGATTTCTACTTATTCCACAGACTGCATCTTGTAATGAAGGCACACCACACAAATGCCCATCTGTTCCGCAAGTTCCACAGTACCTTTTAGTAACGAAATCCGATTGGATTGGGTGTATTCAGATGACTATAGAATAATATTTGAATTATAATAAGTCATATCTACTCGAGACTTTGGCTCGCGTATCTAACTGCATGATGTTGACTAAATGTGTTGATTAGACGCTATTCTATTTACGGAATAAGCTTATATATTTATTTTACGGGTTATTGAACGTCAAGAACGGAGATATAGTGTTATACCATTTGCGCCAAGTGGAATGTAATTTACATTGAAAAATTTCCAATATTTGCTGAACTATACTCCCAGAATAGCTGCCATGTGCTCGCGTTGCATTATTTATCGGAGCGTGCAAATACGTTAAATGCTTATTGCCAAATATCGCTACTTGCGTTACACGTATACCTTTTGGCTCCCACCCCCAAAAACGATTGGAAACCACAATATAGGTCTGTTAAATGGGACCTGAGTTATTTTCAACAGATAAAGTTCCTGTAACACTGTTATGAATATGCATGTTGAACATGCATGCATCTATTATATAAAAACTTGTAATTTACGATTCCAGTTTACAATTTCCGTTCGTGAATAACTTTAAATGGAATTTATATATGATGTTAGAAAGTGGTATAATAAAACAATCTTTGCAATTAAAATATAATCATGCCAACAATAGTTGGCAGTGAAATGTTCGCGTATAAAGCTTGTTTCTAGTAAGAACCTGTCTCATGGTAGGCTGGCGGGTAGGGAGGTAGG